GTTTAAAAGGAAGACCTTGATAGTGCATTCCCCATAGAAACAAAGAATGGAACAAAAGAATAATAAAGACACCTAAACTTTTCCTCATTTATGTAGGACAGTCTTATAATATGCATCCAGATATCCTTCAATCACACAAGCTGAAAATTGTTCCACTTTACTGCAGTTCTGTAACCATATGGGAACCAATCCTGTCTGTGTTCTGTACACATCCAAAATTCCTGCTGAATGACCCGCCCTGGGAGCAAGTTACCAGTGACCCAGGGCTGGGGTGGCAGGAGGGTGCATTTGGGGGGGGGGGAGGAGAGAGAGACCAGGGCTGGTGGGGGGGCAGCCAAAATTTTTTTTGCTTGGGGCAGCAAAAAACCTAGAGCCGGCTCTGACTGTGAATGCATCTCCAGATGACATTCGGGAAACAAGAGAGTCTATATGGAAGGATATTCCCTGCTGCTTTTTCCTCACCTAATTGAGGATACTTTGTTTCCCTACCTGCTTGATGACTCTGTTTACTGCTTAAATGCAAATTAAGCAGAGCACACATTCCTTTGAGACAGACCTGTCTGCCAACTTCAGTTTGGAATATGTGTTAATAACATCATAAAGTGGAATATTATAACTTCTCATATGACGTTGCCACACAGATTTTATCAGGACAATAATGACCAGAAAATTATGAGTTTTCAAAAAACTCACAAGGCATACTTTGTACAAAGATTATTACAGTAGTAAGTGTGGTGTGGACACATGAGGTACATTCTATCACAAGCGTGTAAAGAAAGATGAAACAGGCCTCCTTTTACACAGTTATGTTAGTGCATAGGCGTCAACTTCTACTGGCACCAGTGGATGCTCGACCCCCCTCTGCCCCAGGCCCCACTCCCTCCTGCCCCCATTCCAACCCCTTCCACAAAGTCTCCGCCCCCTCCCGCACCTTAGAGACTAACAAATTTATTTGGGCATAAGCTTTTGTGGGCTAGAACCCACTTCAACAGATGCATGGAATGGAAAATACAGGAACAGGTATAAATACATGAAATGATGGGCGTTGACTTACCAAGTGTGAGGTCAGTCTAATGAGACAATTCAATTAACAGTAGGATACCACGGGAGGAAAAATAACTTTTGCACTGGTAATGAGAGTGGCCCATTTCAAACAGTTGACAAGAAGGTGTGAGTAACAGTAGGGGGAAATTAGGTTTAGGTTTTGTAATGACCCAACCACTCCCAGTCTTTATTCAGGCCTAATTTGATGGTGTCCAGTTTGCAAATTAATTCCAGTTCTGCAGTTTCACATTGGAGTCTGTTTTTGAATTTTTGTTGTTGAAGAAATGCCACTTTTAGGTCTGTTATTGAGTGACCAGGGAGAATGAAGTGTTCTCCTACTGGTTTTTGAATGTTATAATTCCTGATGTCAGATTTGTGTCCATTTATTCTTTTGCGTAGAGACTGGGCACTGCTGGCACATGATGGCTTATATCACATTGGTAGGTGTGCAGGTGAACGAGCCCCTGATGGTGTGGCTGATGTGGTTAGGTCCTATGAATAGATATGTGAACAGAGTGGGCACTGGGGTTTGTTGCAGGGTTTGGTTCCTGGATTGGTGTTTTTGTTGTGTAGTTCCTGGTGAGTATTTGCTTCAGGTTGGGGGGCTCTCTGTAGGCAAGGACTGGCCTGTCTCCCAAGGTCTGTGAGAGTGAGGGATCGTCCTTCAGGATAGGTTGTAGAGCCTTGATGATGAGCTGGAAAGGTTTTAGTTGGGGGCTGTACGTGATGGCTAGTGGTGTTCTGTTACTTTCTTTGTTGGGCCCGTCTTGTAGTTGGTGACTTCTAGGTACTCTTCTGGCTCTGTCAATCTGTTTCTTCACTTCACAAGGTGGGTATTGTAGTTTTAAGAACGCTTGGTAGAGATCTTGTGTTTGTCTCTGTCTGAGGGATCGGAGCAAATACGGTTGTATCTTAGAGCTTGGCTGTACCCCCATGTACATCACTTCTGAGTTTGGCACATATTATCTTGAAACCAATATTCCATCCACAGATAAACCGAAACCGCTACCCCACAAAAGATACCATTATGCTTCAGTGCAACTACTGCTGCACAAACCACACTTCATATCTATAGTGCCTAAAAGATATGAAAGTTCAGCATCTACCAGGCAGAGTTCATTTGTTAGCGAGCAAAGAGATAGACTGAGGGCATCACCGAAGCCTGAAGCACTCATTGACATCACTGAAAGTTCATTCACTCTCTCGGGATAAGGAATGCACAGTTCTTTCCAAGTGACCATGTTCCTAACCGTGATAAATTAACAGCTGGTCTGGCCCTGACAGTTTTGTTCTGTTTTCCAGGGGACTTCATAGGGCATTTAGGCCCCAACGACATGGGCTTTTCAAATAAGTTGCAGGTGCTTCGGGCTGCTGATGGGGAACACTTTAAACACTGTCTCAGAGGCGGGCTGTGCATTACAGATGGCACTGGCTGCGGAGTGGGGTTAATTTCTTGTTTGTTGCGGTGTCACCAGGGGCGGGCGGGGCTCGAACAGAAACCAACAAAGGTACTGCCCAATTAACTGCCAGCCCTGTGCACGCGGCCGCTCCCCGATGATGGCCCCTCCCACTGTGTCCGGACAGCTTTCAACGCCTCCCCCGCCCCCTCACACTGGGGTCTCCCGCCCACGTGGCGCCCGATCACAGCCCCTGAATTCTCTCACGCGGGCCGCGGGTCACAATAAACCCAGACTCTGTCACGTGCCAGGCGGACGCAGGAGCGGTCGGGGTCACGCGTTGGCAGGGAAGAAAGAGGCCTCTGTCTATGGTCGGGACTACATATCCCACAATCCCAGGCGGTACGAATGTCGGCTCCGTTGGAATGGGAGGGGCGGGGCCGCTCAGCCTGAGAGAGCCGCTAGGAGCCATCCCTGAGCGCGGGGTGAAAGGAGCTGCCCCTCCCTCCGCGCTTCCAGACACCACCCCTCAATGTGCGCGTGCCTTCCCGCCCCTCTACGCATGCGCCAAGCACGGAGGGGGCAGGACGCGGAGGGGGCCAGGTGAGGCGGGGGCGTCGGGCTGCAGCGGCGTTGACAGGCGGGGGCAGTGTGGGAGGGGCAAGGGGCGCTGCAGGGCCCGGTCCGGCCCCTATGGGGGGGAGGGGTGTGACACTGGGGGGCTGTGCCGAGACCTTGGCTGGGGGGGAGGGACTCGGTGTCAGTGTCACTCCCCCTCTGCCCCCGCCCTGCTGCGCCCCGCCCGCCCGCTGAGCGGGGTAAGGCCGGTTAATGGCAGCGCCACCCACAGGCGGCCCCTTGGTTGCAGCTCCGGAAGTGGCTCATCACCCTGGCCTCTGAGCCCCAGTCTGGCCGCGCCGGTTGCAGCGTGCGGAGCTGTTAATCTGTCATTGTGATGTAGTGGGAAACAGCTGTCCCAGGGTGAGCCAGCGTCACTGATCTCGAGGGTTCCCCCCACATCACTGCACAGCTGGCACTTACTGCTGCGAAGGCATTGTTTGGTCTGTGGGGAAAAGTAGCTCTAGAGCTGGAAAATCAAGTTTTATCATAAACGGTGAGTCTAGAGTAACCCTTCTGCTGTGAGCAAAGTGAGGCCAGGTCTACACTACAGATCGATACTGGTGTATAACTATGTCACTTGGGTGTGAAAAGTCCAAATCCCTGAGCAATGTACTTACACTGACCTATCCCCACATGTAGCCAGCGCTGTGCTGACAGAAGAAGCTCTCCCATTGACACAGTTATACCCAGGGCCGGCTCCAGGCACCAGCTTCTCAAGCAGGTGCTTGGGGCGGCAGGTCCAGGTATTCGGCGGCAATTCGGTGGACGGTCCCTCACTCCGCCTGGGAGTGAAGGACTTCCAGCCGAATTGCGGCCGCAGATCGCGATCGCGGCTTTTTTGTTTGTTTTGTTTTGTTTTGGCTGCTTGGGGCGGCCAAAACCCGGGAGCCGGCCCTGGTTATACCGCCTCTCGGGGAGGTGGATTAACTATGCCGAAAGGAAAAGCTCTCCTAATGGCACAGGAGCATCTCACTTACATGTTCAGTGGCACAGCTGCATTTGTGCAGCTGCAGCGTTTGAAGTGTAGACCTGCCCTGAGTGTTTGCAGATGGAAATGTTCATTTAATGAATGCTTATTAAACAGCAATAATATTTTTCTCACAGATGCCTCTGTCAGAGAAGAAAGGCCTCCTCTGTTGTAAATTGAAGGATTAAGGCCAAAATCACCATAACGGTGAGGATGCCATTTTAGTTAAATACTTTTGTAGCGCATGATAGTACAAAATACCATTTTGCATAGGTCTTACATAACTATCCTACATAAAGCACCACACACCAATGTATTCAATATTATACATAATCGTAGCAGCTTTTATTTAAAATTATCAACAATCGAGTATTACTTTTAGATTTACAAAAACAACAACGAGTCCGGTGGCACCTTAAAGACTAACAGATTTATTTGGGCATAAACTTTCGTGGGTAAAAAGCCTCACTTCTTAAGATGCATGGAGTGAAAGTTACAGATGCAGGCATTATATAATGACACATGAAGAGAAGGGAGTACCTCGCAAGTGGAGAACCAGTGTTGACAGGGCCAATTCGATCAGGGTGGATGTAGTCCGACCCTAATAATAGATGAGGAGGTGTCAATTCCAGAAGAAGCAAAGCTGTTTTTGTAATGAGCCAGCCACTCCCAGTCCCTATTCAGGCCTAAATTAATGGTGTTAAATTTGCAAATGAATTTTAGTTTTGCTGTTTCTCTTTGAAGTCTGTTTCTGAAGTTTTTTTGTTCAAGAATAGTTACCTTTAAATCTGTTATAGAATGTCCAGGGGGATTGAAGTGTTCACCTACTGGTTTTAGTATGTTACCATTCCTGATGTCCCATTTGCGTCCATTTATTCTTTTAGGTAGGGACTGTCCGGTTTGGCCAATGTACATGACAGAGGGGCATCAGTGGCACATGATGACATATATCACATTAGTAGACGTGCAGGTGAATGAGCCCTTGATGGTGTGGCTGATGTGGTTGGGTCCTCTAATGGTGTCGCTAGAGTAGATATGGGGACAGAGTAGGCAACGAGGTTTGCTACAGGGATTCGTTCCTGGGTTGGTGTTTCTGTGGTGTGGTGTATAGTTGCTGGTGAGTATTTGCTTCAGGTTGGGGGGTTGTCTGTAAGTGAGTTCTGGCCTGTCTCCCAAGGTCTGTGAGAGTGAGGGATTGTTTTCCAGGATAGGTTGTAGATTGTTGACAATGTGCTGGAGAGGTTTTAGCTGGGTGCTGTATGTGATGGCCAGTGGTGTTCTGTTGTTGTCCTTGTTGGGCTTGTCCTGTAGTAGATGATTTCTGGGTACCCGTCTCGCTCTGTCAATCTGTTTCCTCACTTCCCCAAGTGGGTATTGTAGTTTTAAGAATGCTTGAGAAAGGTCTTGTAGATGTTTGTCTCTGTCTGAGGAATTGGAGCAAATTCGGTTGTATTTTAGGGCTTGGCTCTAGACCAGGGTTCGGCAGTGTTTGGCACGCAGCTCGCCACGGTAAGCACCCTGGCAGGCCGGGCCAATTTTATTTACCTGCTGATGCGGCAGGTTCGGCCGATTGCGGCCCCCACTGGCCGCGGTTCGCCTTCCCGGGCCAATGGGGGCGGCGAGAAGCCGCGGCCAGCACATCGCTGGCCCGGGACGGCGAACCGCAGCCAGTGGGGCCTGTGATCGGACGAACCTACCACGTCAGCAGGTAAATAAAACTGGCCCGGCCCGCCAGGGTGCTTACCCTGGCGAGCCGCGTGCCAAACGTTGCCGACCCCTGCTCTAGACAATGGATCGTGTGATGTGTCCTGGATGGAAGCTGGAGGCATGTAGGTAGATTTAAACAAAAGTAACAAGAGTAGTGGATTGTACAAGTACTTTTAAGTGATACAGTACTTAGAATCAGATTTTTTTTTTCAATCAAATTATAAATATAAAGCAGGTCTAATTCTGAGCCTAATCTTAATTTGACAGCAACTCAAAGTGGCTAATAGGCATAAAAACTTTCAACACACTATTTTGAGTAAGCATGACTATATGAAAAACAGTTACACAGAGATGTAGGGGATTCATCCTCTGACTAATGCACTCAGTTCTAAGAGATGGTCTGTTGATCTTATTTAACACGTTTGCATTCATTTTTAAGGCAACAAGAGACTATCATGATCATCTAGTCCAGTGGTTCCCAAACTGGGGTTTGCGAAATGTTACAGGGTTTTTTGGGGGGGGAAATTCCATAATGGCGGACAGAGCTGTCCCTAGGGACCCCCGGGCAGCACAGGGCCAGCAGCCCAGAGCCTCTGGACTTCCCAGAGCTAAGCAGATCAAAGCAAGCATCTCTATCACAGGAAGGAGATTTAAACTTCAAGACTCTTTATAAGAAATGGAAAGGGAGGTGGATATTTTTTGCTGTTTTTAAAAATTAAATAGGCAGCTAGTATTGTTTTAAAAATTATTATGAAGAACAAGTTTAAGCTTTATTGTAACATGGGTTGTTTGCCTGGACTGCTCAAGACCTGAATGCTTGTGTAGGAGGAACTCTTTGAGTTGGCATCTTAAATACCTTCATGCTGTTTCACATCTGATACTCCTTGATGAAACATAGGAGCCGTGTCTTATAACAGGCTTATTCAAAGTGATACAAGCTACGAAAGTGAGATCTTGGAAGAGTGTTGCCATTTTCATAATGTAATAAAAATACTGTAATGATAAATAATTAATAATAAATAGTGTGTAATAAGCATGTCATAAAAACAAATTTTATATGTCCAAGATCACTGCTTTTATAATTTATACTCAGGTAAAGGAGAAAATCCCTGGAAATATTCATTTTTAGGAGGGGGTTCGTGAGGCTTGACATTTTAGTGAAAGGGGTTTGCAGGTTGTTAAAGTTTGAGAACCACTGATCTAATCCAACCTCCTGCATAACCAAAGCCATAAGAATTCACAGTGGTAGTGTTTATAATAAGAAAGTAAAACAAGGCAAGGTGATTAGAAAATAAAAGAACCCGCTGCTCATCTTAAGTTTAAAAACCCGTGCTTTGATTCTGTATGTGTGGAGTTGTACCTTTACAAGGCATTCAGGACAGATGATCAACGTTGAATGCTTCTAATCTTGCCTCTTTTCAGAAGGTTCTTCCAAATAGATAGCCTGCTAGCTGTAGAAAATTTAAGTAACAGTAATTGATTCAACCTGTCCAGTTTTATATCTTGAAATGCAAGCTGACACAAAGTCTTTGGTGGTGGTGGCCATGAAAGTAAAGATGATCTTAGTGTACTGTACAAGGAATTAGGCTGATGATTCTCGTGAACAATAATGGGTTGTTTCAGTGGTGTATTAGGTGTATAGTTTTTGCTTGCTTCCTATCTTTCTATAGTTGATTTTTGTGTGAAAAATTATCTTTTATGTAAGTGTTGAAAAAGAATTGCTTTGGGATCCCAGCGCTTTCAGCAGCCAGTCTTCTCAGTAGAATCAAAGTTAAGGCATTATTGCTCTTTTCTATTCTTACTAAAAAGTTAATGTTCTAGATTTATTTGATCTTACTAACAGGAGTAAAAGAGGTTGGCATCTAGGATATTTGAGTCCCGCAGCTCCTTCACTTTAATCCTGCACTGCAGGGCGTCCCGGTCATGGCCCCTTTCCATCATGTCCTTTGATACCTTCCCAAAGGTATCATAATTCCTACGGCTGGAGCGCAGCTGGGACTGTACAGCTTCCTCCCCTCAAACACTGATGAGGTCCAGCAACTCAGCATTGCTCCATGCTGGGGCTCGCTTGGCGCGTGGAGGCATGGTCACCTGGAAAGATTCGCTGATAGCACGCCACGCCATGCCGGGCTGAGCAAACAGGAAGGGGATTTTTAAAATTCCCAGGGAATGTAAAGGGTGGGTCACATGGTTGGTTACCTGAGGCCAGGGCAGTAGAGTTTGAACTGATGACCAGAGTGGCGAGAACAGGCATTGTGGGATACTACAAAATACTTCTGGAGGCCAGTCACAGCACATTGGGCGGCCACACTGCAGCGGCAGTGCAATACTTGCTATTCCTCTCGGAGAGGTGGAGTACATGCAGCGCTGCAACCACGGAGATAGAGCGCTGCAAATGCCTTGCCAGTGTGGACGGGGAGTGAGTTACAGCGCTGCAACTCGCAAGTGTAGCCAAGGCCTCAGATTGTCACCTATAAAAGCTGGCTCAGGTTTGGGAATCTCCCTAACACCCTCAGCCATGAAGACTGAAACAAAGAATCCATTTAGTTACTCCGCAATGAGTTTATCGTTTTTAAGCGCTCCTTTTGTATCTCGATCATCCAGGGACCCCACTGGTTGTTTAGCAGGCTTCCTGCTTCTGATGTACTTAAAAAACATTTTGTTATTACCTTTTGAGTTTTTGGCTAGCCGTTCTTCAAACTCCTCTTTGGCTTTTCTTATTACATTTTTACACTTAATTTGGCAGTGTTTATGCTCCTTTCTATTTACCTCACTAGGATTTGACTTCCACTTTTTAAAAGATGCCTTTTTTATCTCTCACTGCTTCTTTTACATGGTTGTTAAGCCATGGTGGCTCTTTTTTAGTTCTTTTACCGTGTTTCTTAATTTGGGGTATACATTTAAGTTGGGCCTCTATTATGGTGTCTTTAAAAAGCGTCCATGCAGCTTGCAGGGATTTCACTTTAGTCACTGTACCTTTTAATTTCTGTTTAACTAATCCCCTCATTTTTGCATAGTTTCCCTTTTTGAAATTGAATGCCACAGTGTTGGGCTGTTTGAGATGTTCTTCCCAACACAGGGATGTTAAATGTTGTTATATTATGGTCACTATTTCCAAGCGGTCCTGTTATAGTTACCTCTTTGACCAGCTCCTGTGCTCCACTCAGGACTAAATCGAGAGTTGCCTCTCCCCTTGTGGGTTCCCATACCAGCTGCTCCAAGAAGCAGTCATTTAAAGTATCGAGAAATTTTGTCTCTGCATTTCGTCCTGAGGTGACATGTTCCCAGGCAATATGGGGATAATTGAAATCCCCCACTATTATTGAGTTCTTAATTTTGATAGCCCCTCTAATTTCCCTTAGCATTTCCTCATCACTATCACTGTCCTGGTCAGGTGGTCGATAATAGATCCCTAATGTTATATTCTTATTAGAGCATGAAATTACTATCCATAGAGATTCTATGGAACATGTGGATTCACTTAAAATTTTTACTTCATTTGATTCTACATTTTCGTTCATATATAGTGCCACTCTCTCCCCCCACCCCCGCACGATCTGTTCTGTCCTTCCGATATATTTTGTACCCCAGAATGATTGTGTCCCATTGATTGTCCTCAGTCCACCAGGTTTCTGTGATGCCAATTATATCAATATCCTTCTTTATCACAAGGTACTCTAGTTCACCCCTCTTATCATCTATACTTCTAGCATTTGTGTACAAGCACTTTAAAAACTTGTCACTGTTTATTTGTCTGCCCTTTTCTGATGTGTCCAATTCTTTATGTGAATGTTTCTCGTCTGATCTGGCCCTTACATTATCCTCTTCCATCCTCTGCTCCTGACTATAACCTAGATAATCTCTATCAATAGAATCTCCTCTAAGAGAAGTCTCTGTCCGATCCACGTGCTCCTCTGCAGCAGTCGGCTTTCCCCCATCTCCTAGTTTAAAAACTGCTCTGCAACCTTTTCAATGTTAAGTGCCAGCAGTCTGGTTCCACTCTGGTTTAGGTGGAGCCCATCTCTCCTGTAGAGGCTCCCCCCATCCCAAAAGTTTCCCCAGTTCCTAATGAATCTAAACCCCTCCTCTCTACACCATCGTCTCATCCGTGCATTGAGAGTCTGAAGCTCTGCCTGCCTACCTGGCCCTGCGCGTGGAACTGAGAGCATTTCTGAGAATGCCACCATAGAGATCCTGGATTTCAGTCTCTTCCCTAGCAGCCTAAATTTGGCCTCCAGGACGTCTCTCCTACCCTTCCCTATGTCATCGGTACCTACATGTACCACGATCACCGGCTCCTTCCCAGCACTACACATAAGTCTATCTAGATGCCTCGAGAGATCCGCAACCTTTGCACCAGGCAGGCAAGTCACCATATGGTTCTCCCGGTCATCGCAAACCCAGCTATTTATGTTTCTAATGATCGAATCTCCCATTACTAACACCTGCCTTTTCCTAGTGACTGGAGTTCCCTCTCCCGGAGAGGTAACCTCAGTGCGAGAGGATACCCTAACACCATCTGGAAGGAGGGTCCCAACTATGGGAAGGTTTCCGTCTGCTCCCGTTGACTGCTCCGCTTCCCTGGCCTTTCATCCTCCTTAACAGCGCAGAGGCTGTCTGACCGGAGGTGGGACAATTCTACAGTGTCCCGGAAAGCCTCATCAACATACCTCTCTGCCTCCCTTAGCTGCTCCAGTACTGCCACCCTGGCCTCCAAAGCCCATACGCAGTCTCTGAGGGCCAGGAGCTCCTTGCACCGAATGCACACATACGCCACCTGCCCACAGGGCAGGTAATCATACATGCTGTACTCAGTGCTATAAACTGGATAGCCCTCACTCTGCTGCTGGGCTTCTGCCTGCATTGTCTCCTGCAGCTACCTAGTTAATGAAAGGGTTTTGTTTAAATCAAGAAGTTTTGAATGTAGTTTAGTTTACAGGTTTTAAAGAACAGCAAGTGCACCTTGCCCCCTTCCCACTCCCCTTCCAAACTCCCTTGCAAAACTCCCTGTTAGCAGCCCCTGTTCGCAAAAATAGATCCTGGGGCATTCATAAGTGTGGATATAGAGTCCAGCTGGTGGGTACTTTATATTTAGAGCCTGACTAAAATGCAACTGTATTGGCAGGGCTCTGTTATTACACAATTATGTCTTCAACATAGTTATAAAGCACAGCTCTCTGCAATGTAGAGAGGGCCTAACTGTGTTTTAAGAAACATGCTAAAACTTTGTACCTGTGTAAAGCCTAGGATATTTACCCTGCAAAAGAGAACTGCTTTTTTGAGATACTGGGAGAGCTGTGTTGCAAATGAATTTTCATTTGTAGTATAGACAGGATTCTTCTGTGTGTAAACAGTGCTAATCTGCTGTTACAGTATATATATTGGTAAGTGTATGACTGAGAGTTGGCCTCTAAAATAAAGATCTTTGTACATAAAAATTAATCTGAATTTTGATAATCTTTGGAAGTAAACGAAAACTAGTTAATTTCAGAAGATTTTAAGAAATAATATTGGCTTTTAAAATTCAACACATTAGTTTAATTTTATGTTCAGTGTTGTTGTTTTTTTCCAGGTCATTGTTTAGGATGTAGCAGCATCTGAAGAAATATGAAGTGGCTTTGTGTCATATTGACAAAAAAAATTGGATGTCATCTCTGGGCACTTTCAACAATGATTCCCAAAAAAGTAAAAACATTTCCTTATCCCTATATCATTGAGCATAGAATGTTGTCAGGTTACAAGTCTAAAAATAACATCAAAGACTCTTACAGACTTCTTAAACTTCAGGAGGGGTGTTCCCTAGATGATGTAAAAAATTCATTTACAAATCTTGCCAAACAATATCATCCAGACAGTGGTTCCATCACAGCTGATTCCGCAACATTTGTGCAGATAGAAGAAGCATACCGAACTGTGCTTTCTGATGTGGCCAAGAAAATGAAATCAAGTGAAAGTGAAGATGAAGAAGAAACCAAATTCAAATCCAAAGCGCCACAGCACAGGCAGTATTTAAGTTTTGAAGGTGTTGGTTTTGGGACTCCGAGTCAAAGAGAGCGACAGTACAAGCAGTTTAGAGTAGACCGTGCAGCTGAGCAGGTGATGGAATATCGAAAGCAGAAACTCGAGAGCCAGTATGCTACGAACACTATGATAGCCAAAGATATAAGGCAGAGTAAGAAGGTAAAAATAACCCAAGCAATTGACCGTTTGGTTGAGGACCTCATCCAGGAATCAATGGCTAAAGGAGACTTTGATAACCTCAATGGTAAAGGAAAACCACTGCAGAAATTTTCATACTGTCCACATATTGATCCTATGACTCACAACCTGAACAGAATTCTAATAGATAATGGATACCAACCAGAATGGATTCTGATGCAGAAAGAAATACGAGAAACTATTGAGGAACTAAGAAAGAACATAGTAGCATCTAGGAATAAACTTGGAGAGCCAATGACACCATGTAGACAGAAACAATGGAGTCAGATTTGTGAACAATTAATAGAAGATATCAAGAAACTAAACAAAAGAATTAATGACTTTAATTTAATTGTTCCCATTCTGAACAGACAAATGGTTCATTTTAATGCAGACAAAGAAATTGCACGAGCACAGGCGGCTTATGAGATCCTGATGGAAAAAACAAAGACCATTGATGTGGATACAAAGGAAAATGAACAGGAAAAAGTTAAAATATTTAGGCTTAAATCCAGCTTTTTGAAGTGGATAAATCTTATGCTGAAATAAAATAAAACGGATATACCAGTTTTGATTAAATATTCATGTTAATATATTTTGTAGTTTGAGAGAGAATTTTTCAGGTTTACTGAAAATATAAAACCTACCTGTTTTAATGTTATAATGTTTAGAAGGAATCTAGCTGCTTGACCTGGCTCTCCAAGTGGTCAATATGAAAGCTGTTTAAGAATAAATAATTTTTCTCAGCCAGTTTTGCTTTTGTCAGGCTTATTCTTCTGCATATATCGAGCCAATGTTTTATTTGGGTAAATCAGAAATAATTAAACCTTGTGAAAGTACCATTATCTTTGCTTTACAATTTAGGAAACTGAGGTGCAAAGAAATGACAGCAAGTTAGTGACAGAACCAAGAATAGAATCTATATTTCCTAACTTCCTATCCTGTGCTCTATTAATTGAACCATTCTACCCTCTTAGTTTGAATGCTCACAGCAAGGAACAGTGGGCAGATTAAAAAAAAGAGCCCTTCTAAGTAATACATTTTTCTTATTTAAAAAAATATTGATGTCAGAGACTGTTTTCTGGTATAAGGAATTGTGGCTAATATTAAAGTCCCTGCTCGCATGAGCTAGTACTGTACATATTTCTTTAGATAAGTAGACTGAATATTTTCCTGAGAATGCTGGGAGCATAGTTACTAGTTCCATTTTCTAAATGCTTCTTATATATTAAAAGGACACTGAGAAAGCTGACAGACCACAACAACTTTTTGTCCCCCCCCGGATGGTTGCTTCTAGTATCTGACCATTCCAAATGAAAGCTGAAACAGTTTTAAAATCACAGCTCCTTGACAGGTGATCTAGCAACAATCAAACCTGAATTTATTTCATTTGTTTACACATACACTCATTTTGTACTCTGCCTGTGCTGTCCTTGCATTCTCTGTTTCTGTGATATGGCAAAAGACTGAAATTGGCTCTCAGGTTTTTCAGAGACCAGGATTCTTGTCCGTTTCTGTAGTCCATCCCCTCATAAGAAATGAGCAGACAGAGCAAGTAAAAGACTGGTGTGATGTGCACAAACTCATATGCAATCCCACTGAGCTGAGTTTACTGGTGTTGGGTCATGCAGTTGAGAAGCTTGCACTGCACCCTTTAGTTTTGGTAGGATAAGGATAATAAATTTTCATCATCCTCTAGACATTAAAAAGAAAAATTCAAGAGGTCACATTTAGGGCCTTTCAATCTTCAGTGACCCCATTGACAGCTGAAATGGGTACATTTTCCTTTTTATCTTATGAATAGCAATACTCAAAGCCATGGAGTGCTGGAATACATTATTTTAGCATCTCAAGGAAGATGTTAGCCTTTCGCAAACTTTGTACTCATTTTAGATGTCACTGTTGTATGAATGCCTGCTTATTTATTGAAGAGTGTAAGTGACCTTTAGTAGTTCTTGTTTATAATGGAAACTTCGGACCAGGCAGACGTCTGCTTAAATTTAGGGCTTAATTACAGCAGATAAAAACCATTTCACACAATAGTATTGAAAAGATTGTACCTTCTATTTGTCCAGATGACCTATGGAATTTGACTGGCTTTTCTAATTAAACTAATCCAACAGTACAAACAAAATAGTTGCTCATTTCTCAACTGCAAACTGAATGGATGTGAATAGATTCCTTGTACTTTAAATCAGCTTTACAAAATGGTCATGGAAAAATTATCGGGCACAAGATCTGCTTTTCCACACTTTACCTTGATGATGGGGGGGGGGGAAATTAAATTCTACTTGCCCCTGGCATGTGGGGGATTATATTTTTGAAAGGCTGATACAAATGTCAGTTTTCTGCATATTTTAGGCTATGAAATCTTAAGAATATCATGCTATCTAATCAGCATTTCTAAAGCCCCTAGCACCATAATATCTAAGAAGTGTATTTGAATTATACAAACCCAAGAAAGAACAGCCCAGAGAGCAGTAAATTCTCCATCCCATGTGAGGTCTAATAATGGGCCTCTAATCTGAGATTGATGAGAGTTCTCTGTTAGTTCTGACTTGTGGAAAATAATAAAATTAAGATATTACTTCCAGATACAAAGGGTGTCTGACTATGTACATGTACAGGGAGTTATGTGAATAATTAGTAGATAGAAAGTGCCTTGAAAGGCTTGTCTATATGAGATCTTAATATTCAGATAAAAATTAGTTATGTACTTGTTGGAATAGACTATCCTATATCAACTTTGGTGTCAGTATTTTGCTCAGTCCTACCCAAACCTGCATTTCAGTTTCTTTTAATTACTAGACCTTTACCATGCATCTAAATCCTGCTCCAGTAGCTGTAGCGCTTGGGCTCCAAAGTTCAAACATCCCTGCAGCAGATACTGTTGCACAAAAGGTATTATTGGGTCTTGAGAGCTGCCATTCACCTTCATTTGAATAACCAACAGAGAAGGTTTTGAGGAGAAGCAACAGGGGGCACTGCAGGGAAGAGCAGAGGACAAGCAAGGGGCAAGAGAAGTTGCCAAGTATGCATTCTTGCAGGAAGCAGCTGACACAGCTAATAGAACATGGGGAAAAAAGTGTTTGCATTTTTGAAACTGCTTCCCCACATGTTTGTGTGTGGCTTTTCCTTCCGCTTCCTACATATGGGCAATACGTATGGGGAGGCCCCCACCTGCCCACAATTGAGATTAGCAGCACGAACTGGTGTAGAAACTGGCCAGAAACATTGTCTGGGGGTGAGGAAAGTTCAAGAGATGTAAATCACCAGGGGAAGAAGAGCAGCAACAGCGTCAGAGAATAATGTGGAGGAAGGAATCGTAGACTCATAAACTTTAAGGTCAGAAGGGACCACTGTGATAATCTAGTCTGACCTCCTGCAGGTTGCAGGCCACAGAACCTCACCCACTCCTGAAATAGACCTCTAACCTTTGGCTAAGTTACTGAAGTCCTCAAGTCATGGTTTAAAGACTTCAAGTTACAGAGAATTCACCATTTACGCTAGTTTAAACCTTCAAGTGACCTGTGCCCTATGCTGCAGAGAAAGGTGAACCCCCCTCACCCCCAGAGTCTTGGCCAATCTGACCTGGGGGGAAATTTCTTCCCAACCTTCTGACCAGTTAGACCGTGAATGTGTGGGCAAGACCCGCCAGGGAGAAACTTGGGAAAGAATTTTCTGTAGTAACTCAGAGTCCTCCCCGTCTGGTGCCCTTACTAGCACTACCAGATGCTTGGAGGAGAGGATAAGAATGTAGTGGTGTGAATTCAGAGAGATGTACTGAGTGGGTAGCAAAAGGTGCAGTGCATGGAAGGGGAGCTCTTACTATATTACTGAGGGCACGTCTTCACTACCCGCCGGATCGGCGGGTAGCAATCGATCTATTGGGGATCGACTTATCGCGTCTAGTGAAGACGCGATAAAATCGATCCCTGATGGCTCTGCTGTCAACTCCAGAAATCCACCGTGGCAAGAGGCAGAAGCGGAGTTGACGGCGGTGTGGCAGCGGTCGACTCGCCGCCGTCCTCACAGCCAGGTAAGTCGACCTAAAATACGCAACTTCAGCTACGCTATTCACGTAGCTGAAGTTGCGTATCTTAGGTCGACCCCCTCCCCGCCCCCCATAGTGTAGACCTAGCCTCAATGCCAAAGACGGTGTGGCACTTTACAAGTAGAAGATAAGGCAAGATTCCTGCTTCAATCCGGTAATAATTATTATATTTTATTTATGCTGACGTAGTGCTCCAATCAGGGTCTGGGTGCTGTACAGACATAAGGTTCGTTTCCTGCTCTGAAAAGCTTGATGTAAGGCTGTTTCTACAATTGAATTGCATGGGCAGATTCCTGTGCCCATAGAGAGAACCCCATGGATTAGTGGAACTTTGGGTGGGAGTCGGGAATGAGTGAGGGGAGGATCAGGGTCTAACAAGGTCTATAAAAATAGGAGGGAGGGAAGATGAAGATAACAATGGTAAGAATAGGTAGATTTGTGAATGCCTTGATGGGTTTGAGACATTTAAATCTCATTGGCAGTACTCACGTACACAAGTGGTTGCAGGATCAGGGCTTATGTCTGTCTTTAGTGTCTTTGCATTTTATGTTTGTTTCCACTTGACATCTCTCTATATGCCTTAGGTTATGTTGCTCCTGTCTTTGTTTCATTCTTAGTTCCCCATCATCCTAGTCTCTGTTCCTTTTGAGTAATCTTTAAAAATTCTTCCTCTTTTTGTTTACTTTCTTCCTCTTTCTAATTTCTGCTTCTCTGTTTTTTGACGGACCCTGCCGTAGATAAATCAGTCATCTGAATATGAACACTTGTTTTGTGAGACTGCCAGCTAACATCTCCAATATTGAATTTAATCCAAATTTAGTATTTTTGCCTCAAGATTTCTAAAACCTGGTTCATATTAAGTCCTTTATAATGGGCAATTGCCCAGCAACTCTTTTTGTTTAGAGAGGCAGTGGATCTCTCAATATATATTGGTGCTAATCTATCCTTTTGTCTCTCCATTGCTTTGAGAACAAACAGGCCAGAAAGCAAGAAATAGAGAGCTAATTAAATAATGTACAGGAAGCACGAAGGGAGCTAGTTAGTAATTGACAGCTTGAGTCAAATTTTTCACTGCTCTGCTTTTAAGGTTGAAGTTTTGATCCTCTGACCACACTAGGAACCAGTTTTAAAACCTCCCTGTTTTTTCCTTCACTGATTAGCCATTCAACAACTAGATCTAAAGTAGGTAACTTTTTAAACTTTTTGGTTTGAAAGAAAACTTGATTCAAAATCTTAATGGACTCACCCCGGACCATGCTACTACTAGAACAAGAAAAGCTTGAGAAAGTACACAAAACAAGATCAATATGAGAGCCCATTTATGGAATTTTGGAGATAGTGTGAAATGTGCATTCAGGAAGATGGAGGGGGGGGATTCTAACCAGCAAAACACATTAAATAATTCTAATGTCTAGGTTGAGAGCATTCAGCTTTATATGCTCCAGAGCAGGGTGGCCCAGTGAACTGAGCTGGGAATACCTACAACTGCACTGGGGGTAGCAATAGTGAAAGTGCTGGCATGCCAGTCTTTCACCAGTGTATCGCCTAGCCCTGCTTTGCACAGTGTAAGAAGACAATGATTACAATACAAGTGGCTTTTCTACGCAAGTGCTGTCACCACTACATAAAAAGTATCAATAATGGGTAATTTTACACAGAGGGGAAGCTACTGCAGGTAGTCAGAATGTATCTATAC